ATGCAAAGTTTATTGTTTTTTCTATCACACAGATGTATGTACTGGACTAGGCCAATCTATAGTTGACTGTACGTGTACTTTGGGATCTGGAGTGTCCGTTTATCTCTAACATTTGATGCTAAAATATCGTGACACTAGTGACATCGCAAAACCGCCAAATCAGATGAAGTTTTATTATTTTTGTTCTGCAAACATATGCTGAGAATGCACCACCTTGAATATGTAAACGTGCCTAATGATAGGAATTAAATTATTAAATTAATTAATAATTATTAAAAATAATTAAAAAATTTTTAATAAGAGAAGATATAGTCTGCATGTTTGAATAACAACACCTCCTTTGATTTCCTTAAACACTTCAAATGCCGTTATTTTTCTTGAAAAATTCCCATTGTTATCAGAAATAAACGCACGTTTTTCGATTTTTAATGAATTTCAAATACAGCAACTTCAACAAAGTATTAGGAGTGCTCACATACAATGAAAAATCCAATATATATGATTCACGTTTCTTCTTCCCGACTTTTCTCGCCGACCGACCAACATTCTTTCTTTTACATCGACCGTCATAAAATTTAATTAATCCGTTTAAATATTTTCCAAGAATCAATAAGACCATCCAATCTTTTTAAACGTATACATCATGTCTAAACGTCGACCCACTTTTGAAAAAATGATCGAAGAAGCAATCCTTACTTTAAATGAACGTAGAGGAAGTAGTCGTCAAGCTATAAAGAAATATCTTTTTGATACATATGAAGAACTTAACAATATTCCTGGTACTATAACCAGAATTAATACGGCTATCAGAAATGGTGTTGCAAATGGAAAATTTAAATATTCAAAAGGTCCTGCTAGTAGAATTGGATTGGTCCAAAAACCAAAACGTAAGAAAGAAGAACCTCAAAAGGACGATGCCAAATCTAGTACCTCCGCCGCCGCCGCCGCCGCTAGAAAAATGAGTTCTAGAACAATGATATCTAGATCCATGGCAATGGCAATGAAAAATAATAATGATGGTGCCGAACCTAGTACCTCCGCCGCCGCCGCCGCCACAAAAATGAGTTCTAGATCAATGACAATGACAATGAATGATGATAATATTATTGACGATGATAATATTATTGATGATAATATTATTGACGATGATAATGTTATTAACGATGATAATATTATTAATGATGACAATATTATTAACGATGATAATATTAACGATGATAATATTAATAATGATGATAATATTAACGTTAATAACGATGATAATATTGATAATGACAATAATATTAATAATGACAAGCCACGATCTAGCGTTAGCCCAGGTCGAAATGATATAGACTAAAAGGGAAATATTGTATTTTTACGATGGGAAAGTATTTATCGGATTTATAATTGAATTAATCGAAATTTTTTTTATGTAATATTATACACTATCCGTTTCATTCATTCATTCATCCATTATTCATTCATTCGTTATTCAATGCAATGGTTTTTTCTTAACATACAGTATGTATTAAAATTTAATGAAATAAATAAATTGTTAAGTTTTTATCATTCAAGTTTTTATAAATAATCAATATTTGATCACTTTTTTTATGCTGTATGTACGTAAAAATCTATAAATTTTAATTTTTGAAACATAAATTATAAATACATGAACGGAACTACTCTTGGGTCACATGTATAGATGTATTGATATCTATCACTATATATCACTATATATCACTATTTATCACTATATATCACTATTTATCACTATATATCACTATATATCACTATATATCACTATATATCACTATCATCACGTGCATAATTTATTCACATACAAGGGTGTGGAAATACCAGTTTCTTACATAATAATTGATACAGGTAAGACAATTGAAGTTTTATATAAATAGTTTTACCAAGGTTTCTTTATGATGTATAAATAAAATAATTCTTTCCCATTGCCAATCCAACAAAATCATACACAATCACCAATATTACAAGTGTACAACTAATGATTAAAGAAATCCAAGCAACCCAAATACTAAACCATTCCATAGTACCTCCGCCGCCGCCGCCGCCACAAAAATGAGTTCTAGATCAATGACAATGACAATGAATGATGA